CTGGGAGCGAGGTGTACACCATCAACCCCCCCCCCCGCCCCGAGACAGCAGCGGGTTTCCAGCTCAGCAAGCACAAGGCTGGCGGGGGCTCTGCGTGCCTGGGAGCCTTGTCTTCTCCCGCCTCTCGCAAAAGCAGCTTTCCGCAACGTGAACAGAGCAGCCCCCAGCTCGCAGGAAGGGAAATCAATGGTTCCACAGGAGCTCACACACCGCCACTCGCAACAGCAGAGCGAGGAGTCATTAATTCCCCTCCTTGCTCGGTGACAGCAGCTGCTACGCTCGCTTGTGGGCAGCTTCTGAGGAACGACGCTGGCCGGGGCGGTGCTGCTCGAGGCAAGCAACAAGCAGAAAGGTAGCAAGGTTAAGTGAGAGGGTGGCTGCATACGCACGCTGGGGAGAGCGCGGGCCTCTCTGAAAGCCCCGTGGCTGGTGCTGCCCATCACACACAGATTTAACTCATCGTGCCCTGCACTTCTGCAGATGGCACGAGCTCAGGTCCCCCCCTTCTTGGTCCAGGACTGCACAGTCGTCTCCCTGCTACTCCCTGGCTGCAAGGACAGGACACCGAGCACGGAGAGGCTGAGAGGGAGCAGATCTGTTCGGTAGTTAGCGTCTGCTCGGCTCTGCTCCGTGTTTTCTTCTGCCTGCAGCCATCCCAGCACCTGCGTGGAGCCTGGCAGCTCAGGACCTACACCACGGTTTGGTGATTAAAACAAAGAAACAGGCAGCAGCATTGGCTTTCAGTATCTAGCAGGGGCGTGCCTTTAATCTAACAGAGAGACCCTGGTGTTACATACAGGCGCGCCGAGGGATGAAGAACAGATGCAACAGAGTCTGTTTTCAGATTTCCATAACAAGTGTGTGTCAGGAGCTGGCAGCTATGAAGACATGTGGCATATGCTGGGTATGTCTGTGCCGCGCCCTGCCCGGGAAGCCGTTTCCTTCGCGGGAGCTCCTCTGATGAGTTACAGACACCGCTAACGGGCAGGGCTGCCCTCTTGGGGAGGCAGAGGGAGGGCAC